TATATTTAGCTTTTTAAAAGCATACACACATATATCTACATAAGCTTTTCCAAAGTTAGTAGAGGACCATACATATCCAACCACTATTGACTTTCTTACAAAACATATTCCATAAAACAAGGACTACCTTTCCTTTACATACTTAACATAATATTTAAGAAAATAACAATTAAACAAAAGACATCTAGAAATATCTCATTTTCTAACACAGATCTATGAAACCTGCAATTTTTTCTTCTTTTCAAATCCGAAGGTTTACACCAACAGAATAATGCATGGAGTTTGGTACCTCTTCTTACTGTACATAAAATCATCGGTTGCATATGGGTTTACAAAATTAAGTACAAATCAGATGGTACCAATGAAAGATATAAGGTTTGTCTTATTTCTAAAGGATACACTCAAGTAGAAGGTACTCATTAATAGGAAACATTTTCTCTCACAGTCAAACTTACTACACTTTGTTGTCTTAATACTGTTGTTGCTACATGAAATTTGTCTGCCTACCAGCTAGACGTCCAAAATTATTCCTTCACGGTGACTTGAATGAAGAAGTATATATGGAACCTCCACCTGCACTTCACCAACTTGGGGAGAACATTGTATGTTAGCTACACATATCCCTCTATGGTCTCAAAAAAGCATCAATAAATTGGTTTCTCACCTTTTTAGAAACGATTCAAAAGGCTGACTATGAAAAAATCAAAAGCTGACTATTCTTTTTTTACCAAAGGCCAAGGTACTTCATTTACTGCAAGTTTTAATTTATGTTGATGATATACTTCTCATAGGAAATGATCTTAAAGAAATCGAGCATCTCAAAAGGTTCCTTATGAAACGGTTCCGCATTAATGGTTTTGGAGGTTTAAGATATTTTTTGGGTATTGAGTTTTCCAGATCGCATAAAGGTATTTCATGTCTCAACGGAAATATGCATTAGACATCTTACAAGACTCAGGACTTCTAGGGGCACGCCTAGACAAATTTCCAATGGAAGACAATTTGAAACTTACTCCTACACATGGTGAATTATTGAATGATCCAACTAAGTATAGAAGATTAATTGGCAGGCTGGTTTATCTTATGGTTACTAGACCTGACATAGTCTATTCTGTACATATACAAAGTCAATACATGCAGCCTCAAAAACCTCAATGGGATGCTGCTATACGGGTCCTTAAATATATTAAGGGTACTCAAGATCAAGGCTTATTGTTTCATTCCACCAATGATCTTACAGTGAAGGCCTTTACTGATTCAGATTGGGGGAGTTGGAGTGCCACAAGGAGATCAATTACAAGATATTGTAATTTTCTTGGAAATTCTCTTGTCTCATGGTCCAAGAAACAATCAAATGTTTCAAGATCGTCAGCAAAAGCAGAAATATCGGGCTAAGACTAACACATGCTTGGAGCTCACATGGTTACGGTATATTCTACAAGATCTGAAAGTCCCACAAGTAACTCCTACAGAATTATTTTGTGATAATCAAGCAATTTTGCATATTGCAGAGAATCCTCTCTTCCATGAATGTACAAAACATATTGAAATAGATTGTCACATAGTTCGATAAAAGTTGCAAGCTGGAATTATTAGTCCATCATATGTACCTACACGCTTCCAGTTGACATGTTTATTTACAAAGGCATTGGGAAGGGATCCATTTGTGACACTATGCAACAAGTTGGGACTTCATGATATTCACTCTCCAACTTGAGGTGGAGTGTTAAGAAATATTATATTATCATATATTTACTTTCCTATTTAGTGTAAATTAGATCCCATATAATTTGGATCATAGATTTAGTGCCTTAGAGCTAAGCCTTCATTGATTTTTAACATACATTTATATATTGGTATTCAGTAATGTAAATACACAACTTCAACCATTCATTTTCTCCTCTAGAATCTGCATTCTCTATTTCTTAAGTCAACCTGACCTAGACTTGAGACACAGAGAGTACTAAGATCAGCTTCTTGACATTGTTTTTATTTTTTTGGGTAACAAATGTAAATATTACCATTAACCATCCAGCCAATACACCTAAAGAGCACCTAACTACACAACTACCTTTCGTAGAAGGGGACTATGCAAGTTAAGCCTTGAACATAGATCTAATTACATGATAAATTGCTGATTCAAATAGCAGCATCTTTGGCCTTTCCTTGTCTTTCTAACTATGTATAATCTAGCATTGAAGCTTTGCTTAATCTGTGTAATTGTTGTATCTACAGTCACCATTGCTCCCCTATACAACTTTCAATTCCTAGCCTACCACACATGATATACTGTTGAGTCCCAAAGTGCTGCGATTATCTCTTTGTCCAGTTGCTTCCAATTCTTCCCCCTAATTTTTTTTAACACTTATTTCACATCTCCTACTGGAATCAGCGCCAAAGACCATTGATCCATCGCTGTAATGATTCCTTTGGTCCAAACACATTCAGAAAAGGTGTTTTTGTGTCTCAACATTTTGCACGTCACATAAACTACATGCTATAGTATCCACTAGTATATTCATCCTTTGTAGTCAGTCTTTAGTCAGAATTTGCCCTACATAGCTAACCAAAATTATAAATCCATGCCTTGGTTGAGAGATTTTATCTCAGATGAATTCATCAATTATCATCTTACTCTGGACCCCCTAACAATGAGTCGTAGCTTTCTCCTAATGAGTATTTCCCATTTGTTGTTAGGATATACGTGCCTTCTGCATACCACTCCACCATGTCTTTCTTTAAGGCATTCAACTTTCTCTAGTACCAACTACTATCTTGTGGATGTTTATGCTCCCAGATGTCCTAGTTCTCTTTCATATACACCCATCTGATTCATAATACATCTTTTTTAACTATTAATTGCCACAACAAACTTACCCACCGATGCCACATTCCACAACTTGCTTCCTTTGATATTTAGACCACCAAACTTCTTAGGGACACATACTTTGTCCCACACTACTAGCTTAATCTTCTTTTTATCCTCAAAGCTACCCCATAAGTATGCCCTGCATGTTTTGTCAACTTCTTTTATCACGCTCTGGGGTAGTATGAAAACAGATCCCCATAAACTATGAATAGAGAACATCACTGAGATAATCACCTGCAACCTCCTGGCCTGCATACAACAACTGTTTTGAGTAGACTTTTGTGATTCTGCTAGTACTCTTCTCAGTCGGTTGGTGATACTCCATTTTGCTCCATTTCTTTGAAGATAGTGGTATCCCTAGGTACATTATGGGGAATGAGCCCTGTGCAAATCCTATTTTTGACAATGGTTGACTCTTATTGTACTCATCCACCCCTACCATCATTCTTGGCATCGTTAACCGGGTAAGATTGCTCGACTCTAAATTTAAAAATTCAAGAATTACCTAAAAAATGTTGTATCCATTATCATATTAAAATACAAAAGATTTGTTCGAAGATAAATCCATCGATTAATGACCAAGGAAAACTAAATCAATTAATTGGATGGGTTTATTTAATGGATTTTGTCATAGAAGTATATTTTTTAAAGATGACAATTTAGTAAATCACATGAGTTTAGTAGCTTTAAAGGCTCATATTTTGTAAAAGGCAAAGTAATAGTTGAATGATTTCTTATATTAAAAAAAAGTGTCTTTGATAGATTATTTTCATTATTTAGATGACCATATGAGAAATTAACTTCATCTATTGATTTGGAAGGGAAAACTGATATCGAAGACAGACAAGTCTACCTCAAATGCTATTGGTAGAAATGGGTTGGAACTTCGAATTGGGTAAGGTCGTTTCATAAGCTCAAAAAGATATTGAAACTAATAAATGAAGAGGAAAAAATAAATCACAGGCAAATGTGTTGAAAGTGGTGCCTCAAAAGCTGGAGATTAGTTCCACCTTCTGTTGTATCAATATACAACTTAAAAGTAGGATTAAGTTCAGATAGATAAGTGTACAGTGTTGGGCAGAATCTGATTAGTTAGTTGCTATAATTTAGGTTTTAGTTAGTGGAAATAATGTTTGCTTATTTTACTCCTTTTCTTTAGATTTTTAAGTTATGGATTAATGTATTTATATTGCAGTCATTATTTCAATAAAGTAATGCAACTTAACCTTGTTATCTTTTTCTTTTCTTTCTTTGTCAATATATATGATAATCTTGTACAAATTTGTATCAGAGCATTGGCATCTTGCGGGACTTGTGATAAGAGAGTGAACCATATTATAAGCCATTCTTTGGACTATTATCTTAAATAGTTTATAGAAAATGAATTTTGCAACAAGCTTCTTAACTCCACTAGTCTTCAATGGTGAAAATTATTAAGCTTGGGCAATTAGAATGACGATTCATCTTAAAGTGTTGGATCTCTGAGAAACAGGAGAAGAGGATTATCAAGTAACTCCTCTCGGTGATAATCCAACAATGAATCCGATGAAAAATCACAATGAGAATAAGACAAGGAATGCCTAAGCCAAAGCTTGCCTATTCTTTGCAGTATCCCCTTCAATTCTTACCAGAATTATGCAAATGAAGTTTATTGCAGAAATTTGGGAGTATCTCAAAAAATAATACGAAGGAAATGAAAGAGTGCAGAACACTACAAGAAAAGTGTGAATTACATGGGAATTTTCGTGGGGATTAGTATGAAAATCCATAGGAAACTTATTTTCCTGAAAATATTCATGATACTAATTCCTAGGAAAATTCCCATGTAATTCACACTTTTCTTGTAGTGGAATATGAAAGTGATAAATCTGATTCGAGAATTTGAAATGAAGAGAATGAAAGAATCATAAACTATAAAAGATTATGCAAACCAACTACTCGACTTGGCCAACAAGGTGAGAATGTTTGGTAAGGATTTCAGTGATGAAAGAATTGTTCAAAATATTTTTGTTACACTTCCTAAGAAATATGATGCCACAATTTCTTCTTTAGAGAATTCTAAAGATTTGTCAAGTGTTACCTTGGAAGAACTTGTTAGAGCTTTGCAGACATTGAAGCAAAGGAGAATAATGAGGAAAAAAGGTTCTGTTGAAGGTGATTTTCAAGATAATTCACAGAACAATGTGTCAAACAAAGGAAGGAAAAAGATCAAGAAGCAAAGGCTTAGCAATAATTACAATAATCAGGGAGGATGTCAACCTCCTTGCCCTTATTGCATAAATACAAACCACTCTCAACAGAACTTTTGGTGGAGACCAGATGTCAAGTGCAAAAATGTGGTCAACTAATCCATGTGTAGATGGTATGCAAGTCACAACCACAACAAGAAGAAGCTAAGGCTTCTGTAAATCAACATCAAGAAGAGCAATTATTTGTAACAACTTGTTTTGCTAGCAAAAAACGCTTCTGAATAATGGTTAATTGATAGCGGATGCACAAATCATATGACTAGTGACCAATAACTCTTTAAAGATATAGATAAATCTTTTATTTCCAAAGGAAATTTTGAAATGGAGAATATCTCGACGCGAGAGGCAAAGGAACTCTTGCAATTGAAAGCCTTACAGGTTTGAAACTCATAGTTGATGTTTTTTTTGTTCTTGATCTTGATCAAAACCTCCTAAGTGTTGGACAACTACTTAAAAATGGTTTGAAAGTGTTTCTTGAAGAAAAAACATGTGTCATCAAGGATGCTGATAATAAGGAGATGTTCAAGGTCAAGATGAGAGGAAAAAGTTTTGCCTTGACCCTCTTGGGCGAGGAGCAAGCAACACCTATCCAGTTGGAAAATAACTCATAATTATGGCACAAAAGACTCAGACATTTTCATCATGATGCTATACTCTTCATGAAAGAAAATCAACTCTCAAAAGGTCTTCTAAGCCTTGAAAAGAACCTTCCTGCTTGTGAAGCTTGTTAGTATGGGAAGAAAACAAGGTTGCATTTTCAGAATCCATCGTGGAGGGCAAAGCACAAGCTACAACTTATTCACACGGATGTAGGCAGACCTTATAAAACACCATATTTAAAGAGTAGTAAGTACAATATTGCCTTTATTGATGATTTTATCAAATATTCTTAGATTTATTTTTTGAACTATAAATCTATGGCCGGTGATGTATTCAAGAAATACAAGGCTTTTGTGCAAAATCAGAGTGGTTGCATAATTCAGGTGATAAGAATAGATAATGGAACCGAGTATACTTCAGAAAAATTCAACAAGATTTGTAATGAAGCATTAATTGAGCATCAACTAACAACACCCTATACTCCCCAACAAAATGGACTAGTGGAAAGAAAAATATGACGCAAATGGAGATGACAAGGTGTTTTCTCTTTGAGAAAGGGCTGCCAAAGAACTTTTGGGCTGAAGCTGCAAATACTGCAGTAATTCTGCTAAACCGATTGCCAACTAAGGCCTTGCAAAAGAAGACACCATTTGAGGCTTGGTTTGGTTACAAACCTT